TCGAAATTTGGCATGTCCCTGCAGAATACGTCACTTTTTGATTTGTGTAGGGCCACCTTTATACTCCCTTCACTACCAAGTAAGTCACTGACCTGGAACAACCATGTGCATTGCAGGTGTAACAACACTTGATTAAACACATACTCATTTCATGTCAGTGACTCACAAGGTAGCAAAAAAGCAAGCATAAGCACAACAGCCTTGTAGCCTGTATGCCCAAAACAAGTCAGCCATATGTTTACTGGTTCCTTTGTCATTTTTAAACTACAGCATTACAAAAGTGGTTAAAATGGTTATTTACTCAGTACCATTTATAAGTAGTACTGGCTAGAGCACTGTTGGGCAGAAGCTGCACCCTTTAATGTCTGTGATTCGAGACACTCTTGGAAGAAAAAATTATCTGAAATTAATTTGGGTACACTGTTGCACAACCGAACAATTGTCAAAGTAGGTTAGTTGCAGTATTCCATTGAATCCAGAGGAGGGAGTTTTCCACTACAGGCTGTAAAACACCCATCCATCCATTAAGGAGACCTCTGGCTGGATCCAACTTGTGCTCACCCAGGAGACATCCACAGAGCTGGATATCACCCAGAGGAGGAGAATCCCTACTCGGCTTATCTCATTCATTCCATCCTTAAAGGGGATCTCTGGCTATATTGTTTACATATGTATTTGAAATGCGCATCTGGTGAGTGTGTATTTTTACTACACCTTTGGCACATCACTGAAGTTTGGAGTAATTATCAGTCCTTGCTCAGCACTTTACCACAAACTGTCACTTTATGAATATCATATCTAAATCTCTTATTACCTACATCATATGAACTATTATTTGGAGTATTATTTGGTTTAATGTAATTTTAGCACTGCACTTTTTATTATTTATCTGTGGAGGTTTTATCTGGTTACCTTTGTGTGCATCAGCGGCTATTTTTAAGCGCTCACTGATCCTTTTCTATTTTATAATTGTCAAAGTATCGCAGCTTTGGAAATTGAAAAATAGCCTCGTAATGAATGGAGGGGACAGACCTATCAGTCATCTGCCCATCCTCCGTTTTTAGATTTATAGAAGATGTAGTACAGCTTCTATGAATGGAGCAGCTGGGACTAAAGGGTGGCCATAGTCAGGCTCTCTTGATGAGAGCCTGTTGGTTATATTAACCCCAAACATGAAAAAATATACACCGCTCAGCCATAGCATTATGGTCACCCACCATAACCTGTTGAGGCATGCACTCCACTAGATCTCTGAAGGCATACTGTTGTATCTGGCTCTAAGCTTTCAGAAGCAAATCCTTTAAGTCAGCGGAAGGCAACCTTAAATAGGTGGAGATCTACCTGAACAACATGGGAGATGTCAAAGATCACCAGGCACAGTATTGCTTCCTCGCACCCGATTTAAACCATACCACCGTGTCACAATCATGTGCATTGCATGGCAATCGTGGGTTTAAATCAGGTAGTGAGGAGGCAACATATCGCCTCCTCACCTGTCAAGCATACTTGGTTCACTGCATTTGTGAATGAGCTCTTGTTTGCATTCGGCAGTGGCACCCTTCAGGCTCGTTCTTGCGTAAAGTTGGGGGGGTTGTAAATCCTTTCAGTTGAGTCATGTTTTTTCTGCCTGAGACAGCAGCCAAGGTGTATACATGCTGCAGCAGGAATAAAACCCCTGTTGCTTTTGGTGGGTGCTACCACCTTCAGACCATGACCCATTCAGGTAAATGGGGCCATTCTGCAAGCGCCCCACAACTGTATGCTGCTGTGGTGTTAAAGCAGGTGGTGAAAAAGCTTTAACCCCTTGTTTTGCTGTACTGGACAAGGTAGGGCACTTTCAGAGCAGCCTCAGTGCCTTGAATGGGCCTTGCTTGGCAGGTGCTACACTCACCAACCATGACAGGGCGTAAAACTCCTGCTGCTGTTGTGACATGTGTACACCCTTGGCCACTGCAGCTAAAGGGGGGTGTGGTTGAAGTGGGGATGGTAAAAACATGCCTTAACAATGGGGTTTTACCACCCTCCAAACTGCAAATGTAAATGAACCCTTACTGGTCTGAGCCCTCTATAAGGCTGCTTTCACACTGATGTGCTGCGGTTTACCTGTAGTGTGGGTGCAGCGCAGTGTATCTGTGACTTTCCTGGGTTAGCTGCGATTTGCCGTAGACTTCTATTATATCCTGCAGGTGTGGTGCACTTTCTAAAAAGCACACCAAAACTCCTGCATTTAGTAGTTTTGGTGCACTTTCAGAAAGCGCACCAAACCCGCAGGATATATTAGAAGTCTATGGCCAAGTGCAGCAAACTCGCAGGAAAGCTGCGGGTATACTGCCCATTGTAGTTGCTTTTGGCTGTGGATACAGTCCCTTACATAACAAACTGCGATGCATTGTGTGTTCTGACACCTTTCTACTGGAACCAGCATGAACTTTTTAAGCAATATGAGCTACAGTAGCTCTTCTGTTGGATCAGAGTACAAGAGTCGGCTTTGTTCCCCACATGCATCAATAAGCCTTTGCCGCCCCTGACCCTGTTGTCAGTTTACTGGTTTTCCTTCCTTGAACCTCTTTTGGTAGGTCCTGACCACTTCAGACTGGCAACATCCCACAGGAGCTGTAGTTCTGGAGTTACTCTGACCCAGTCGTCTAGCCATTATAATTTCGCCCCTGTCAAAGTTGCTCAAAACCTTGACCATTATTTCTATTTTCAACGCATCTGCTTAAGGGACAATATGACCACTTGCTGCCTAATAAATCCCACCCACTTTCAGGTGCCATTGTAACAAGATAACCAATGATATGCGCTTCACCTGTCATTGGTCATAATGTTGTGGCAGATTAGTGTATGTGATGTTACATTAGCTTTGATTGAATATTGGTTTCTCTTTTATTGTGCAAGCCATCTGTAATCATTCACTCTGTAGCTAATTGCTTGGCTGTCACATGAGTAACCAAACTCAGCTCCACTTTCCTCAAACAGGTAAAAAAACATAATGATGGGGTTGGTGTTTTTTTACTATTGCATGAGTCTGCAGAAATGTTATGTTTAGAATCAGAGGAACTGGTGATTTAGAAAACATACGGAAGTTCCTTCTCTACTGATTCTAGATCAATGGTCACCAAGCTGCGGCCCGGGGGCCGGATGTGGTCCTTTGCATGCCTTTATCTGGCCCTTGGGCACTATGCCACCAACTGGCACCATTCCCCCCCTATTGACACCATCCATGGGGCACTATTCTTCTCATTGATATCAACAATGGGGCACTATTCCTCCGTTACAACCAATGATGGGGCATTTTCTACTCCCACTGGCCACAGTCCAGCCCCCGTAAAGCCTGAAGGACAGTAAACTGGCCCTTTTGCTTAGAAAGTTTGGAGACCCCTGCTCTAGACTTATTTTGTAACCAGGCACATGATCTCCTAGTCTGTACAGCTAGATGGTGCTGCAGACTGAGGAACTGAACTTTTGAACAGCATCTGTATCCTTTCTTCCTGGCAGTCTGCCTCTGAAAAATTGCCTGTGCTCCTCCCTGAATGCACTTTAAGCAGCCTAAGAGAACAGCATTGCTAGAGATAAGGCAGGTCTTTTTCTGATATCATGAAATGTAATACTCCTGATTATTTCCTCATAGACAGTAAGGGGGAGATTACCCAACATGCACAGAATAGTGAATGAGCATGATGAGCGACAGTCCATGATCGATCACATTCCCTTATGTATGACCACCTGTGCTGTAACAGTGGTATCCTGCTATCGCAGAAATCACCATAGGGCCTCAGTCTTTTAAAATACAATTAGATTACAATCCACGGATCCTTTCCCAGAGCTGTGATGACAGAGTAATGTGTAATACTAGGCCTTCACATCTCACAAAGAGCATACAATAAATAATGCAAAAGGTTAGCTCAAACAAATAAATGTATATTTAATGGGCGTCAACCGTGGATCAGTTATATTTGTAAGCATTTATCTAAGTACAGTGTGTGTGTATATGAAAAGCATAAATTATCTGCAGATGCAGTGTACAGATTGATTTCTCATCCTGTCCATAGAATCTATTCGAGTCTGGTATCCAGTCTAATTTTTTAACAGTTCTTACACACAGAGCAGCTTGAATCCTTCTCTTCTCAGGTCCCCGCTAGCGCTCCTGGCTCCTCTCCCCTGCCGAATGCCCCCTTAGCAAGCTGCTTGTTAGGGGGGTACTCATGCAGGTTCGCTCCCAAGCCAATCTTTGTGTGTCCATTGACATACAGAGAATGGCTCCCCACTCCCTCCTCATTGACTGTGACTGATAGCACACAGTGGGCGGCACAGTGCCTTAGTGGTTTGCACGTCTGCCTTGCAGTAAATAGGTCATGGGTTCGATTCCCGACCATGGCGCCTCCTGCATGGAGTTTGCATGTTCTCCCTGTGCTTGTGTGGGTTTCCTCCGGGTACTCTGGTTTCCTCCCACACTCTAAAGACATGCTGGTAGTTAATTGTCTCCTGTCTAAATTGGCCCTAATATGTGTATGTATGAATGTGAATTAGGGACTTTAGATTGTACGCCCCTTGAGGGATAGGGACTGATGTGAATGTACAATATATATGTAAAAGCGCTGCATAAATTGACAGCGCTATATAAGTACCTGAAATAAATAAATAGCAGGAGGAGCCATTGGCTCCTTCTGCTATCTCTGAGCCTGTGAGGAGAGAGCCGCTGCTCTCATGCACAATGCTGTATCGAGATCAGGCTCAGGTAAGTATAAGGGGGGGGGGGGGGGCAGCAAAACCCAAAAGGTTTTTTACCATAATATAGATAATGCTTTTAAGTAGAAAAAACATTCAACTTTACAACCACTTTAACAACAACCTAATGTGCCAGAAAACTGCCATGTACATGTGGGTTTTTTGTGTTTGGACTGTATTCAGGTCTCTTCCATTTCTGCCATATATTTTTCAATATTATATTTACATCAATAGTAATCATTTACATCTTTGAGCCTAGGTGCCATTTTTACGATGCACTTTATTGTTGTGTTTTCTCTTTCAGTGTCAGCAGGTGAAGACTGCTTGTGGTATCAGGATCACAGTGGTGGTTGGCATCCTAGCCTAGATTGTAGATATGGGACTTTTTGCTGTGGAGACTGCTACCAAAGATATTGCTGCTTGGAACCTAGTAAACTAATCACTGAGAGGATGCAGAAGGGCTGTCTTTCTTTAAGGTACTGTTTAAACAAGCATATTTCATAACTGAGCATGTTACATTATTAATTTCCAGTATCTTATTTTTTTGTGGTGTTCAGTTCCCACCACTTCTGTGTAATCTGAACTTTTTTACCTCTGTTATAGCCCGAAGACCATTGCAGGCATTGATTTGCTGTGCTACTCTTCTTTGTGGTAATTGTTACATTGATTTGCTGCTTCATGTGCTCTTGTTGTTATCTGTATCAGCGTCGCCACCAGCGTTCAACACCATACAGAGGTAAGACCAAACATTCGAACTGAATTTTTAAATTCTTTACCTCATCTTTATTTCTCTCAGCTGGCTGGATTATATATGTGGATTCCCAGCTCTCTTGTTCTGAGCAACTATTGAACTTGCTATCTCAACTCACATAAAAAGGAGACAGAGCTGTGAGTGACAACATTGTTTTTTTTGATGGTTATCATTAACCAGTCAATCCCCTAAAAGTGTATTTCAGTTGTAAGTGGAATTTTGGGAAATCTGCTGGCTTCTAATATTTCTTAGAAACATATTCCCTGAAATTCATAAAGACTGGAACAGGCAGATTTTGCAAAAATGGCTCACATGCATTCTAAAAGTGGTGAAGAATGGGCCAAATTCATGCACCGGTTTAGAACTTGTACTTGAATTTGGCTCATGCTGCTTCACTTTTAGAATGCACATGAGACAATTTTTCTCTCTGTATGCCTAAAGAGAGTTGGTCTTAATTAGCTCCACTTTTACATTGTGTCACATTGAATGCTCCAAATGTAAAAGTGGCAAATTAATTACTTGCCTACTGGCCACTTTTTTACCCCCTTCCTGCCTAGGCCAATTTTCAGCTTTCAGCGCTGTCACACTTTGGATGATAATTGCTTGGTCATGCAACACTGTACCCATATGAAATTTATATAATTTATTTCACACAAATTGAGCTCTCTTTTGGTGGTATTTAATCACTACTGGGTTTTTTTAGTTTTTGCACTAGAAACAAAAAAAAAGACAGAACATTTTTAAAAAATAAAACATTTTTCTTCATTTCTATTATAACATTTTGCAAACAGCTAATTTTTCTACCGTTATTGTGTGAAAAACGTATAAATAACTAATTTTCCATAAATAAATAAATTTATACTTCTAGTGCATTACAACATGTGTAAACATGATCTCAATAAATACATCAGTTCACAAAGTCCACATAATGTGCGTGATTATCCAACACCAAAATTATACACGTGCTGCTTGTAAACTTCACATAAAAAAGTTCCATCTCTATGCACACAGAACTCTCACCTCCAGATTTATATCACAATGCGCATATATGACATTCCATCCAGATTCCACCAACTCTTTCTGCTCTTGACCACTAGGGACTCTCCACTCCTTGCTTACTTGGAACCAATTAATCCAGGACTGGAAGACTACGCTGTAGTTGTCATTCGGCTATAATGTAGTTAAGAAGTGGTTAAATGCGACACAAGGTAAAAGTGACATATATTAGAACTATCTGAATTTGGTGCACAAGTCACTGTCAGAATCAAATTAATTTGGCGCAATAAATTAACAAGAGGGATTAATACAAGAAAAGTGGAGCAGCAGCGTTATTGATTTCCCCCCATTGGGGGAATATTCAATAAAATTCAGATATACACCATGTTTACATTGTGTCACATTGAATGCAACACTTTTACACTGTGTCACACTGAATGTGCTAAATGTAAAAGTGGAGCTAATTATGACCAACTCTCATTTGGTGTACAGAGAGAAAAAGTGGCTGAGACAGATTTAGCGAAAGTGTCCCATATGCATTCTAAAAGCGGCGCAGCATGAGCCAAATTTAAGTACAAGTTCTAGACAGCTACATGAATTTGGGGCATTCTTCACCACTTTTAGAATGCATGAGAGACATGCAAAATCTGCCTGCGCCAGTCTTTATGAATTCATGGGATTATCTTTCTGATATAGTTCCTTTTATCTGTTCTTTCCAGCCTTTGTATTGGGACAGATCAGACTGAACTAGCTGAGAAATTTTTGCAGTCAGCCATGACTACTTCACCTTAGAAACATCTTAAAGGTAATAAATACCGTATTTTTCGCTACATAAGATGCACCGGACCATAAGACGCACCTAGGTTTTAGAGGAGGAAAACAAGAAAAAAAAATTCTGAACCAATGGACTGCAGACACAGTACAGGAGATGACCAGAGACTGTGGACATAGTACAGGAGATGACCAGAGACTGCAGACCTTTGGGGAGCAGGTACCCAAATTTGACAGGTACCCGCTCCCACTTCCACGGAGTTGTCCTCCCTTTCTGTCTTCTGGGACACGTAACAGGTCCCAGAAGACTGCTGGACCATTCACAAAGCGCAGCGCTTCTTGTGCATGCGCAATGGGCACCCGGCTGTGAAGCCGCAAGCTGAGACACCAATCAGCTTCCAGGTTTTTTGGTCAAAGCTCAATAGAACAAGCTGAAGTTAGAAGCTGATTGGCTACCATACACAGCTGCACCAAATTTTGCGCGCTCTTCCGTTTTAATAAATCAACCCCATTGTATTTTTTTTTTTTTTTTTTCAAATTTGACTGTACTTGCTTAAAGTGGAAGTAAAGACAAATCCTAACTAACTCTAAACCTACTCTCAGCCATATTCTAAGCCTAATATATCTAGTCCTGTAAAGAAAAAAAAACACTATACTTACCTGTTCTGCAGCCGCTCCAGTTCAGTCCCACCCTGAGCCGTCAGCAATGGTTTCAGTGTGTAGCAGTGTTCAGGAGAGGCAGCCAACAACAAAAGCCTCATAGTAACTCTATGGGTGACGTCCCTTTCCAGGCATTTCCCAACTGCTGTCGGCTGTGTCCAGCACACAGAGGGTGCCGTTGGAGACCAGAGCGGCTGCAGAACAGATAAGTGTAGCGATTTTTTTTTTCTTTACAGGGCTAGATAAATGAGGCTTGCAATGTGGGTGAGAGTAGGTTTAGAGTTTGTTAGGCATTGCCTCTATTTCCACCTTAAATGTGATTGGTCAAAAAGCCTGTTCCACTGTGATTACAGCCTTCTGCACAGTGCCAGACTGTTTACCTAAGTTTCCAAATTTGACAATTCTTGTCAGAGATGTGTTCCATCTATACTTTTGAGGTTACCTGTAAAACATAAACTGCTGGTGGACAAGTTTGGTAAGAAAATGCAATAGGTGGTGATGACCACTTAGCCATAACTTAAAGACGGGCCTAAATACACACTAGATCAGCCTTTCTCAACCGGCGTGCCGCCAGAGGTCTTCAGAGGTGCAGTTTTGTCCTGTCAGAGAAAGGCTGTCAGTTGAACCCGAGCTCCCGATCCCCAGCCGCACTGTACGTTGGCACTTGGAGCCGTTAGACTGTTGAGCAAAGTGAAAGCAAAGATTGTCTTCTGTGCCTCCCTCTAGAGTGCAGTACCCGGCTGTGTGAGCAAAGGTAAGGTACTGTAACTTTTCATAGGGCTGTATACATGTGTGTGCATATATGTGTGTGCATACATGTGTTGCGTGTGTGTGTGTTCATGTGTTGGTATGTGTGTGTTTTAATCTGTGTGTTTTTGTTTTTATGTGTGTATGTATGTATGTGTGTCACTTAATCGTGACCCCCTATTCCTGTCCTTTCAGAATTGCTTTTTTAGGACTTGTTCATAATAGCAGCAAGAACTGCTGCTCTTCTGAAAAGCAATGCATGCTCGGATCACTTTTCAGAGACATTTGACAGGTGGTAAAGCAATATGTTTCCTCCTCACCACCTGTTTTAACCCTGTAAAAAGCAGCATCACCACACCACAACCTCATGCAATACACACACAGTTGCGGGGTGGTTGTAGTTCAACCCCATTCACCTGGAGGTATACTTCCAGCTGTGGCCACAGCATGTGTATACCCCCAGCTGCTATTTCTGCAGCTAAAGGGGAAGCTGTTGGGGGTGGTAAAAAACAGCTCAGTTGCGTGGTTTTACCGCCCTCCACCCTCACAGGTGAACAAGCTCTTGGTTCACATCTGTGTGGCTGTGTGTAGGGCAGCCCATTCACTTCAATGGGCTGCCTTACCTGCAGAAATGCAGGGAAAGTCATTCCTGACCCTTTTTTAAAGTTGCACCACACCAAAAACACCCCGGGTTTGCCAATATATGGGGTACCCCTAAAGAGCAGAGCATTTGTCTGCATGTCAGGAATGAGCGCGATTTCACGTGTGTTACGCAACACACAGTAATGTGAACCAAGCCTTGGACAGGGGTGCCTTGTGACTGAAAATACTTTTCAAGGTCGCCCCGACTGGAAAAAGGTTTAGAAACAATGCACTAGATTAGTTGTCTCCAAACTGCGGCCCTTTGCTTTCCTTTATCCAGCCCTTGAGGCATTATTCCTGCCACTGACACCAATGATGAGGCACCATTTCTCCTCCTTAATACCAAAGATGGGACAATGTTTACGCCTACATGACACAGTCCGGCCCCCTAAAGTCTGAAGGATATTAAACTGGCCCTTTGTTTAGAAAGTTTGGAGACCCCTGCACTAGATAAACCGCTAGTATAAAAAAAATGCAGGCATCAAGAGGTGTCTGCTTTGGAGGACGCCAATATTTTCATTCACATGGTTTTAATCACCTTAAAATTAAAGTTTCTGTAGCTGCTCAAGCAGCATGTTATAGTTAATTCCAACTCCTGTCGCTGCCACTTTTGCTAGACAGCATGGTCTGAATGATGTAATTGTAGACAAAAACAATGATTAAATTGTCTGAAATAAAAAAACTATCATTAGAGGTTTTACCTCCTGAGGGTTAAACAGAGTAAACGTTTTTATTGATAGTGGGCCAATAGCAATTAACACTCTTTATTGAATGTAGCTGAGAATAGCTTGTTGGTCATATAGCTGAAATCTAAAGAATGTGAAGCACTTTTATAATTGAATAAAGTCTTCCTTGTCTGCTTGCAGTAAATCAAGTGCTTTTTTTCTTTTTTCTCCATGTTTTGAAAGCATGAACTTTTAACATGAATACATTTTCTGGATTATGTTCTTTTTTTGCCAGCTCAAGAAATCCAGATGTCGGGTGTTTCCCAGCAACCTCTCTATCCTACACAACCTCCATACCCCACCCAGGCTCCTTACCCAGCACAGCCTCCATACCCAACCCAGCCTCCATATCCCACACAACCCTATCCAATGGATCCCAAGTTTGCACCACCTCAGCCTGGATATGAACCTGTGCCTATGTACCCACCAAGTGGACCAACAGCCCAGTATCCTGTATATCCTCCACCACCAATGTACAATCCAAACTGTAAGCTATATGTTACATCATAAACGGTGATATGCTTTGTTCATTCAGGGAAAAAGATACAGGTTCACTTTAATGTAGACCTTCTCACCTGTGAACTGAGGGAAATACATGGAATTACTGGCCAGAGCCGCCCCACGCAGGGGCTCTGTAAACCTGTGTAAACTAAAACTCCAGAGACTTAAGCCCCATTCTACTTCGCATAGCGGGAACTTGCATTTTCACTCCCGATTTTGATTTTTTTTTGATTTTGACCTGATTCTGCGTGTCACACATAGGGCAGCCCATTCATTTTAATGGGCTGCACTATGTGCATTTGTTTGCCTAAAAGAAGTTCTTACTCTTTTTTTTGGGTGCCAAGGTTTAAACGATTTTGATTTAATGCGAAGTCGAAATCCAACGTGATTCTGTCTCCTGACAACTGCGGCAAAATCGCACAGCATTTGGGGTGCCATTTTGAAGGAATGGCACCCAAATGTGCGTTGCGCGTTTTGCACCAATTGCCATGCAATTTGGAACTGTGGGCAGAATTACGGCAATTACACCCAAGATTCTAGATCACCAAATGTGAATGGGGTTTTATAGCTTACACAGGGCTTTTCTACCCTTCTCATCAACTGAGGGTAGGTATTTTTTAGTGACCCTGTCACAACACTATGCCTATGAAGATATTTATCTCAAGCTGAATTATCTATGTAAGTATATTTTAGGCTGCAGATGTTCGAAAACATCTTTGGCCTGCTGTACTGAAAACAGACATTAGCTTTTTAGCCTCTCTGACACTTCTAGTAGCATCTTAAAACATGAAGGATTAACGTTCCAGACACACACAACTGCTCCCCTCACCTGACCCTATTATCAGCTAAAGATCTGGGAAAGGGCTATGAAAGTCTTGTGTGATCTGCTTTGACAATATCTGCAGATCAGAATCATCAGTTTTTTACATACTAAATTGAAAGAACAAAGAATTGCCAAAGCAAATATTACTAATATCTGTGGACAGGAACATTTACGTTGCGTAAAATGGTCAATATATTCATCAAGCCCTTGCTGTAACCCATAGCTGTGATTGATATTCTTACATAGTTCATCCCTTACATCTCTGATGCCCATTGTGTGGTCCTTTGGTACTGTCTAGCTCTTGGACCCAAGCAGTCAGTTGTAGTCAATAGTAGTAGAGAAAAAAAATAATAAATATGTATGGACTGTGAAAATGGATATACATACATACAGTATAAATCAATGAGAATATTTATGGTTATTGTCAAAATGATTGTCTATGTATGTGTAAAACTGGTCACTGGTCTGTGTATTCTTTCCCTCCTGGAATCTGACATTAGAACATCTTAGGACATCAGAAGAAGGTGCTGCACATCACTTTCTCATGGATTAAAATCATGCTGATGAGGAATTCCCTCATGGTTTGGGAGATGAGGACTTGCGTGCTACTTTACTTGTAATGAGAGCTGAGACTGCTTACTAGGATAAAGTTTACAGGGTAGATCCAGCATCACAGGGGAAAAGATAATGTTTCATCTCTTCCTGTTGATGCTGAAATTTACCCTCTCTGACATTCCACAAATTTCTATTGCCGCCAAGGCAGATCATCATAGTAATAGGCATAGGCTTGAAGCTTAATAGAGAAGCAGAATACCAAAAGCTGCTGCAGGTATGCTCTATTTAGTTCTACTACCAGATTTAATGACAAATGCCAGACAGACAAGGTAGAATAAGAGAAAAAGTAAATCTTTCACACTGGGCGGACTCCATTTTGATCAGCAGGGAATTGGGGAGATCCACCCACTCTGCTCTATGGGCGGCTGGGTGTAAACGTTTACACCCGCAAGTCCATAAAGGTGAATGGACCCTTTGCATGAAAGGGGCTTTATGGTAAACAGGGTCATGCTTTTGAGTTTTAATTACATAGTTACATTGTGTAACCATATTTGGAGATTCTGTAACTCCCTAATTAGTAGCACAGAAAAATGTATGTACTTTATCTAATCTCAATAGGAGTCTGTTGAGCACATTCAGAAGACAAACCATGAAAATGGATGTGTTACAGTGTAAAGACTGTTCAGGCTACATACTGGTCAGGAAAATGTTACTGCAAGAACATGTACATGAGAAAAGCATCAAAAATCTTTTCGATAAACTTCACAATAGTAATTTTGTATTCTTTCCATTCTTAGTTGCCATGCCACCTCCGAACACAATGCATCCCGGGCAGTGACTACAAGAGAACAGGACGATTATTACATTGTTTTCACTTGTTTTGTTTTATTGAATATGGATTTTGTCGGAAGAATTTTCTGTATTACATACTGTGTGACTTTCAGCATTTCATTTCTCCACCATGACAAAGACTTTCTTTGTACACTTGATTCATTTGGTCATGCCACAGGAATGAAAGATTCTTTGTGCACATTGTCATCTGGCAGGCTGCAGAAATACTCATTATTGGGTTGAGCTGCATGGTTACCTTGACTAATGTTACTGGATTACATTTTACTAATGTCTGTTGTGGATGTAATAATATAGTGTCTGACTTCAATTCTTTTCAGACTTAAAGTAAAATTGTACTAACTTTTGTGTATGTGAGCTGCCAGCAAGATGTTACATCAAGCACTCAGATATACCAACATGCATCAGTAATCTTTAGTGCTCTCCAGGAGAGGTGAATTATGGAAATCGTAATTTTACTTAAATTTGGTGCTTTATCCCACCTCCCACACTTCACTATTGGTCAGTAAGGCAACCCATCACTTGTTGAGCCAGTGAGATTGGGTTAATGAGTTAAACTACTACAAAGTACTTTTCATTAACATCCTGATGCCAGTTTGCAAAAAAAAAACAAAATGTACATTTTAGAGTTGCTTGATATGGCTGCTGTCAGAGCACTGAATGTAAAGTATGTATTTTTAAGTTAAACTACAATATTTTTTACAGTAAATAAATTACTGTTGCATTATTTTAAACATTGTAAATGGTGTTTCTATTGTCTTATGCTAGGCCTCAGGCATAAACACCTAATAATGCCACCCATAATATCTATTTGCCTGCCATCTTACATTTTCTTAACAGATTTGAAAATGTAAGATGACAGGCAAATATATATTATGGGTGGCATTATTAGGTAATTTCATTTTATTAGGTAATTAATGCTACAGTTGGAAAATGGTTAATCTGTTCTTTGTTCCAGTTTTTGATTTTTTTTTTTTTTTTCTATAGGCATGCTCTGTTGGGCATACACTGCTATATGATGACAAGTTACTGTAAGTACTATCAACTGCCAGGCTGTAGCAGCAGAAAAATTGCACAGAATGTGCATAGAATAGAACTTGTTATCTGACGTAAGCTATCACTTATCCTTATTTAACCGCCTCCCGCCTGCCATATAAGGAAGGTGACAGGCGCAAGGCGGTTCTCTTGTTCTGGAAGGACATCATAGGACGTCCTCCCACTCTTACCACACGTGCGCGCCCCCGGGGGCACGCAGCTCGGCGATTGGTGGTTTGCTGTGTCCCTGGGACACAGCAGATCACTGAACGACAGAAAGAGCAAAAGACGTCGGCTCTGTCGTGATCAGCTGTGTCCAATCACAGCTGATCGCATGTAAATAAGGAAATGCCGGTTGTTGGCATTCCTCTCCTCACGAGCTGTCACGCTGACAGCTCGTCAGGAGAGGAGAGCCGGTAATCGGCATTACTCAGAGGGGACATGTACACTGATCATCAGGGCACTGATGATCAGTGTGCCCTGATGATCAGTGTAGCCCCATCAGTGCCATCTGTCAGTGCCCATCAATGCCACCTGCCAGTGCCACATTAATGCCACATATCAGTGCCTACTAGTGCACATCAGTGCCCATCTGAGCTGCCAATCAGTGCCAGTCAGTGCCGCCTATCAGTCCCATATGAGTGCTGCCTTTCAGTGCCCATCAGTGATGTCTGTCAATGCCCATCAGTGCCTCCTCATCAGTGCAGCCTATCAGTGCCTATCACTGCAGCCTCATTAATGCACATCAGTGAAGGAGAAAAATCACTTATTTACAAAATTTTATAACAGAAACTAAGAAAAAACTTTTTCTTTTTTTCAAAAGTTTTTGTTGTTTTTGGTTTGTTTAGAAAAAGCTAAAAAACTCAAAGGTGATTAAATACCACCAAAAGATATCTGTCTCAAAACAATGATAAAAATTTAATATGGGTACAGTGTTGCATGACCGCGCAATTGTCATTCAAAGTGCGACAATGCTGAAAGCTGAAAATTGGCCTGGGCAGGAAGGGCCCTGTAGGCAAGTCGTTAAAGGGCCACTGTGCTTTATATACAGTATTTTCATAAATTGGTTCACCCAGAATGTTTATTTGAGAATGCTGTTAATAATAAAAATAGCAACAACATTTGGTCAGTAGAACAATACAAAATTGAAAGCATACAGTTTGTCAGTATAGTTTGAGAACCAGGTATCATTGCTGGGTCGAAGGATGGACATTAAAAAACAAAAAGTACTGTATGTAAACATTTTTTTTGAGGTTATTAGAACAAAAGATAGGCCAAGGGGACCATGAGAAGTTTTATTTTTCAATACATATCTTACCCTCTTACAAGTAATCATTTAAAGCAGTATTAAACCCAAAACAAACATATATTGCAGCTTACCAATTCTTAGATGTGGTGCCTGTGTTTGTTTTCTTTTTTAGGCTTTCTTTCCTTTATTTTCACCTAGTGCTCTAGCCAGAAAGTCTGTTGTTTTTCAACAGAACAAGCTTTCCTACAGATGTAGCAGTTAGAGGGTTGGGAGAAACCACTTTTCACGGGTGCTTATGATGGTCAGCTGTTATTCATTTATGTAAAACCTTTAAGAGCAGTTACAGCAACAGTTTTGCTGCTTTGGGGATAAAGTGTTAGCTAGAGTTCAGCTTCAATCTGTTTAGTGTATCTAGCACACAGGTTGACAATGCTGCTGTCCAAGGGTGTCTCTGTTGCTCCTTCATCCATAGTGGAGGCACTCTAATACAGGGGATGTGTTACTGGTCAGATTACCAGGTGAAACTAGAGGGGGGGGAAAGTCTAAAAAAATAAAACTAATGCAGCCACCACATCTAATGATTGATTTGCGGCAATATCTTACATTTTTGGTTTTGGGTTTCCAGATGTCATTTTGTTACCTGCCTATGCCTCCACTGGCAGCTTACATAAAACACTAGGCTATACAGAAAAGCATTATAAATGCCAAATATTTCCATTTTGGTAAAGGTATGGGAGCTTTTACTTAGATATAATGGTTTTAATATTTCTTGATCATGCATTCTGCTGTCAGAGTAATGACATCTGTGTGAAAAGAAACTTCAAATTAAAACAATATAAGAATATGCACACATGTATCCTTGCCTGCAGCAGTGCAAACAAGACTCTCTGGAAAATGGCAGTTTCTGTGCACAAACGAAAACACTAGTTTGCCAAATAAAATACAAAAAACAAGTGGAACCTTTTGGAGAAGTGTGTCTGCATCCATAGCTACGTGTGTGTTCATACTGTATCATATTTTATCATGCCTAAGAACACAATTATTTCCATTATATTGTACTATACATTTCATGATTTCCCATGTCTTGGGTCATTATTACATCATGAATGCCCTTGTGTTGGGTCATTATGTACATCACGATTCGCATGTCTTGGGTCATTAGGTACATGATGATTTCCAATGTCTTGGGTCATAAAAAAAAGACAGGTGCATCCCAGTTTGCAATGGTCCCTGCTGATCAATGTACATGGGAACATGTATATGAACATATGCTTACATGCTAAACATTTTGGCAAATGTTTAGAAATAATAAGTAAAAACAAGATCAGAAAACTTACAATTTCAATGCACAATTATTTATTTGCATTGAATGGACTGGGGGAAAAAAACTGCTGAAGTTTAAATTTCTGCTAGTTGATCAAATACTGTTTTCTATGCACCAATCCAGAACAATCTTGGCAAAGATTACTTAGCAAAGCGGCTGAAGGATATAAAATCATAACTGAACGCTTTCTTCCTCGAAGAATACCAGTAAAGTATATTCCAGCTATCCAAAGTGGATACTACTCCCCTTTCAATGTGACTGAGAGAACACATACAGTTGTGTTCAAAATAATAGCAGTCAGACATCACTAACCTGATCAATCACTGTTTTTGGTAGAAATGATATTTCTACATGGCAAATAATTTACTAGCAGGTGTAGTAGAGTAATAGAAATCCAACAGACCCAACAATCATGACATGCATGCTGCTGATTCTGTGTAATTGAATCACTAATTGAAAGGGGCATGTTCAAAATAATAGCAGTGTGGAGTTCTATTAGTGAGGTCATTCATTCTTTGAAAAACAGGTGGCAATTATTGCCCTTATTTAAGGAAGGAAGGCAGCAAATGTTGTACATGCTGGTTACAGTGCATTTCTCTCTGAAATTCTGAGGAAAATGGGTTGTTCCAGACATTGTTCAGAAGAACAGCATACCTTGATTGAAAAGTTGAAAATGGCAAGGACTCAGCCAACAATCAGCTCCAGGAAGATCAAAGAAGGTCTAAAGTTACCTCTGAGTACTGTCACAATTAGAAGACGCCTATGTGAAGCCAAGCTATCTGCAAGAAGCCCCCACAAAGTCCCACTGTTGAAAAAAAGACATGCTAAAGAGGTTACAATTTGCCAAAGAGCACATTGACTGGCCTAAAGAGAAATGGCACAACATTTTGTGGACTGATGAAAGTAAGATTGTTCTTTTTGGGTCTAGTGGCCGAAGGCAGTTTGTCAGACGACCCCCAAACACTGAATTCAAGCCACAGTACACTGTTCACAGTACACTGTGAAGACAGTGAAGCATGAAGACGTGCTTGAGTACGATACGCGTCAGAAGGAGCCACACCACGCCGTGACATCACGCCGCCGGAGCAACGTGGAGCCCCGGCGGCCATCTTTGTTTACCAGCTGGTCAGTTCCTTTACAGACTACTGTCTGCAACGCTGTATTCTTTTTATCTGATACACCTGATTGAATTAATAAATTTGAGGTTTAACTTACTACACTATGGGAGTGTTCTTGTCGCCCCCTGGGGGAGTGCTCTAGTCCGCAGACCCACTTCAAGAACGGATCGCTACTCACCACTCAGGCCACCTGTAGTGACAGCACCCACTAGGACCACATAAGGGGACCTCTAGAGGAGAAGGACCAATTACCTAGGATCCGA